CATGAGCTCTGTGCCCTAACAGAGCTCACAGCTGGTCCTCAACAGCCATGTTCTGGCCACATGTAATGCTGCGGCTCTGCACACTCTTTCATTGAAGAAACTTAGAGCATTTTGCAAATTAAGTTAGGAAAATGTATACAGTCCCATATGAAAAAAATCCAGGTTAATGCTCCATGCTGGTATTACCAAGGAGTTTATCACTTGACGAAGAATGTTCAACTCAATTCTTTTAAACTGGGTGTGCAGCGAGGGCATTTAACATGTAATTTCCTCTGCCGAGTGTTCCATCCCAACGCCTCTCCTGTATAAGTAGCTTAGGAAGTTAGATTTTTTTCTACAGAGGATTAAATATCGAAGAGGAATGCCTGAGAAACGGCACCGGTTTCCTCCCATTTCCTCAAAGTGAACGTAGCTTTGTGAAGAATGAAGTGGAGACCAGTGGTTAGGTTGGTGGCTTTAAAAAAAATGCAGCTTTTCTTACTCTGATTCACCAAAAACAAAAGGGCCTGTTGGCGGCCACTAATCTTGTAAGTTGCAGCAGAAAGAAGAAAACAAGCATCTAGGGTTGGAAGAGGGTTTGGTGGTCACCTGCTGTCAACCTCCGCTTCGTAGGTAGGAGAACGAGGCCAGGGAAGACTGCGTCCTGGCCAAACTGACGCAACCAGAGAATGCCAGAGTTGGAGCGAAAATGCCACCTCCTGACTGACAGCCTGCACTCACAGGCTGATTCCGAAATAGTCACACAACAGGCAGCTAAATACCTGTGGACAAGGCGAAAGAACAGTTCCTCAGAGCTCTGTCCTTGGGCAAGCCACTGGGATCTCAGTGGACCTCTTGACTCTCTTTCCTTATTTTCACAAATGGGTTGAATCCATCTGCCCTGCCTCCAAGGCAGATTTGCATGGACAGCAAATGAGGTAAAGTCTGTGAGCTTCCCTAAGGGTCTGAGGTCAGTGTAAATGATAACAGTGCCAATTACTGAGCACCAGGATGTGCCCGGCACTGTGCTAAGCCTCATTTCATTCTTGCAGCACTGCTAGGAGGCAGGGCCACCGTCATCCCCACCGTGCACGGGAAGTTAAGACTGGTTAAATCACTCACCCAAAACCTCACAGATTTGAACCAGGCCCAGCTGACCCTCAAACTGGAGCATTTATTTGATCACCAGTAATACCACCCCCCTTCCGTGTACTTCGCAGTCAATGGTAATAGTTAGATTTGCATCTACACATAGCCAAAGAGCACTGAAAGAGATATTTATATTATACGAACTACATCAAAATAACATAACATTTTTAGTATTTTCCTGATTTTTCAGTAATTAAAAATGATTGCCCTTTAAATTTTTCCGTGGATATAGTTGCATTGTTTCTAACAAATTGTAGTCCCCCTCATTTTAAAGAACGAATTAGTGAGAAAATAGTGTTATCCAAAACAAGATTTCAATTATCTATTTTGTTTGTGTGTAGCATGGGTTTTTCTAAAATGTTTTTCTTATACGTGAATGTATAATTTTAAAAGGTTGATTTTTAAAATATTGAATTTAGGTATATTCAGCTTTTCTTACAGTCTCTTTATGATAAATGTGAATTGGAAATTAAAATATTCCATTCAGATTGGGCTCCATCTACAACAGAACTTCCACATATGGATAATTCACTGAAATAAATAACCTCCTCATGGACCAGGATCAGCCTTTGGGATAGACATTCACCTAACTGATTTTGTATTTGTTTTCATTTCAACAAGCTGTAACATTTGACGTAAATGTCTAATCTTTTACTGAGAAACAGTTTGATTTTCTCAAGTTTGAGTATTTGTGGTGGGAGGGGTGGGAGATTGGGGGAGAAGGTTCAACTTGAAAAACTTTGTCATTTTTTGTTTCCACCGAGACTAAGGTGTGAAAGTCCTTGGCAAGCAATTGGCAGCCCCTACCTCGTCGATGAGGACATCAAGAGTTGTAGTGATTAAAATATTTTATTCTTCGTATTGATTATACTTCGACATAAAAAAAAAATCACTTCTAGTGGATCAATGTGGCACATGAGTAAACCAGAAGATGGCGTTGAAGATTAGCAATCACGTTTAAAACAAGGGAGCCAGTGAAGGCTCAGAAAGTTTCATGCAATGACGGTTGTTTTGAACTGCTAAGAGCAGAGGATGTGGATGAGTGAGGAGAATAGTGAAACTGACTAATCCTGGTGCAGAAAACACGTGTGCGAAAGTGCAGAAGGCTCTAGTTTGCCAATTTTGTACTTAACAGTCTTCTGTCTGGTATGTTTGTGAACTTTTTGGGAAAAAGTAATTCACTGATTAAAATGCAATGCAACACGAGGCAGCGGTCTCTGCTTTGTCCCCTGATGGATACCCAGTTTCTAGAGCAGTTCCTGACAAGTAATAGGTACCCAAAATATACGTGTTGAATGAATGCATCTGTGAAAGGAAAAAAAAAAAAAGGAAGAAAAACACGTTGTGACCAGAATTTTCTTGAACAAAACCCTGTTGTTTATCACATAGACTCTGACGATGTGATAATGGAAAATTTACTCGGGTAAAATAAAAACATGGCATCCTGTCAATTTCTAAGAATGTCTGTTAGTTTTAGGAAAAGCATACTTATCCATACCTCACTACCTGTTTTGCTCTAGCCTAATCTTACTTTCTTCTTTGGTTAGGAGACATTGATCCAATATTTAAGATTAAAAGAAAAACTGAGAAATAAGTGAAATCAAAAGCTTTTCAAAAGTTGCGAGTTGACCTGGGGTGGTAGCGGTCTGAAATCATACAGAAACCGGTGCTCTGACGGTTTACCTGAAAATGCTAAGTAAATAAACACACGCAAAGCATCCGGGATGATCCCGGGAAGTTCAGTGGGTGAAGGCTCAGGGAATTAATTCTGAGATTAAAGACATCTCAGAAAACTAAGTAAAATCTCAGGTCCACTTAAACATTGTTCCTATTTTGGACTTTTATATCCCACTACTAAACTACTTTCTATCAGGTTGAGGTTAAAACGATGTCATCTCAAGGTGAACCGAAAGTCCGGAGCGATTAAGCACCTGGAGGCTTCGGGATCCCCCCGCCCCGCCCTGGCGTTGCCATAATGGAATCTTGGGGACCTGTGCGCGGTCTCGGGCGCCTCGATCCGTCGGGTTGGCGGATGCGGAACCACCGTGAGCATCTCGAGCGTGCACACGCGGCGTGGACCCAGGGCGCGCAGCTCCAGGGGGACCACCTCGCCGAGTGCGCGCTACGCTCCTTCAGCACCGCGGAGGGGCCGGTTCTCGGCGGCAGCGACCGCGCCCAGGGCGCTCCCGCACCCCCGCCGGCCCTCGCTCCATTGGGACAATTCCTGGGTCGGTGACGCGCTGCGCAGACCAAGTCCCCTCCGCACAGATGCCCGCTGCTGCGCGCCCCACTTCCCGCCCGTCCGCCCGCCCCTGCCTTTCGGCGGTTGTTAGGTGTCGGCCGGGCTCCGGGCAGGTCCCGCGCGGAGGCGACAGCCCCATCTGGTACCTCGCCCTGCGCGGGAAACGGCCCGAGCGACGGTCCCCAGGCCGCGCGCCCGGCCCGGTGCGCGGCGGGCGGGTCGCGGGGCCCGCGGGGTTCCCTGCCCCTTTGGGGCCGCGGCTCCGCTCACCCGGCCGTGGCTCGCCCGCGGGGTCCCGGCTCGCCGCCGCCTGCCCCGGCCCCCGCCACCCGCAGGCGGAGCCGGCCCGCCCCGCCCGCCGCAGGCTCCGCCCCAGCGCGGCTTTTAAGCGCTATAAAGTTCCTCTTCCCCATCTGGCGCTCTTAGTTTCACCACTTGCACTTGGGACACGCCGCTGCGCTCAGCTCCGGGTCCTGGGCGAGGTAAGGCCTGGAGCCGGCCAGGAGGAGGGGTGACCTGGCCCCGGAGAGGAAGGGACTGGAGCGCGCACCAGAGGCGCCCTCCCGGGGCAGCGCTGGGGACCCCGGCTCCGGAGCAGGGAGGGAGCGCGCCCCGCCAGGGACCCCGAGTGCCTCCCCGAGCGCCCGGGCACCCGCCGCCTCTCCTCGCTCCCGCGGCCCCGCCACCCGGGGGGTCTGCGCAGCCCGCGCCCGGGCCGCCCCCGCTGGACGGGACGGGGAACGGGACTGTCGGGGCCGTCGGGGGAGCTCGCACAGGGCGGGGGCCTCGCCCGCCGGGGACAGCCTTGACCCTGCCGGCTCCAGTGCAAGGTCCTCCCCCGCTCCTCGTTCCGGAGGGGCCCGAACTCGCCGCAGCGGCCTGTGCGCGCTGCTCGGCTGCTGAAGGCGGAGGGGCAGGAGCTCCGGATTCCGGCCGAGCCTCGCGCGACCCCGCGCCTCTCAGGCCGGGCAGCCGCGTCGCCCTCCCCGCACCCTCGCCGCCTCCGCTGTCCCTCTTGGGCCGCCTGGGTCGAGCCCGCGCTGTGCGCGCTGCTCCTCGCCTGGCGCGGGGTCTCCGCCGCCTGTTGCCTCGAGGGCCCGTTTAGCCGTCGCGAGCCGGGGAGGGCGGGGGGCTGTTCGGGGGGCCACGCGCACCAGTGCGGGAGCAGAAAGCGGGCGGCCGCGGGGCATCCGGACACCCGGCCGAGCACCAGGCCGGCGTGCGCGCGGGGCCACCGAGGGCGCGTGGATTGAGCGCGCAGGAGGGGAACCTGGAGTGTCGGGACGAATGGGCTGGAAACGGTGCGGGAGCGGGCCGCGAGGAGCGGACGCAGGGGCGGCGCGGACGGAGCGTCAGGCGGGGCGGCGGCCGGATTCTGGGGCGTGCGGAGCTGCGGGCGGCGGCGCGGGGAAGAAGGAGCGCGCCCGCGGGCGGCCGGGGCGGGCTCGGCGGGGCGGCAGCGCTGAGCTCGCCCAGTGGACGCTCCCGGACCGCCGCGAAGCCGCCTTCCTCGGGGGCCTGGGCGACACCGACAGGCGCGCGCTCCGCCGTCTCGGGGACGCCGGGGCCGCGTGTTCGCCGCCGGAGGGCCCGGCACAGACGGGCGGCGCCTCTTCCCCGCAGGCGGCGCGGGCGCGGGCATGAACCTGGACGGCGGCGGCCGGGGCGCGGAGTTCGGCATGAGCGCGGTGAGCTGCGGCAACGGGAAGCTGCGCCAGTGGCTGATCGACCAGATCGACAGCGGCAAGTACCCGGGGCTGGTGTGGGAGAACGAGGAGAAGAGCATCTTCCGCATCCCCTGGAAGCACGCGGGCAAGCAGGACTACAACCGCGAGGAGGACGCCGCGCTCTTCAAGGTCTCGGCCGCGGGGACGGGCGCGGCGGGGAGCCGGGTGCGCATCCCGGGCGCGTGGCCCCCGGGCAGGGACATCCCTGGAGGGCCGGCCCGGGAGGGCGGGAGAAGGCCCGAGGGTTCTGGGGCGCTTCTCTGTGGGGCTGTCTTTCCGTCCGAGCCCCGACCCTGTCTCTGGGTCCCCCCTGCGCCCTTCGTCGGGGTCTCCTGCCTCTTTCCGGGCGCACCTGCGTCTCTGCTTCTCCATCACTCTCACTGCGCCTTTGGTCTGTTTGTCTGTCCTGCTGTTTGTCTCCGGAGTCTCCGTCTCCGGATTGTTTTCTCTTGGTTCAGTCTCTCTGTCCTCCCAGCTGTCTGGGGGTATTTCCATGCTTCTGTCTCTCTGTCTGTCTTTCCAAGTGTCTCTCTCTCTCTGGATCTTTCTCCCCTTGCCCTGTGTGTGCGCGCGCGTGCGTGTGCACACTCACGTGGGCGCCTCCGCCGTGACTGTTCCCCCAGAGCAGGTCACCCAGGGAACTGTGCCTTGGGCCCAGCCCCACCTGTGGGCAGAGCAGGGGAAGGGGACTTCCTCAGGGAATTTGCTCTTAGGCCGCCTCAGCTCGGGCGACCGTCCAGATGTCCTCTGTGGGTGGCTGCTCACACCGCAGCTCTGCCCTCCTCCCAGTGAAATGCACCTCAGTCACCGACGGGGAGAGCTCACTCCAGGAACCGCCACATCTCACCCCTGCTTTCATAAATACCCAGCAAATGCTCATCTCAGACTCTGCAATGACGCGGTCCAGGGTGAAAACTATTCTGCCTGGGGGACAGCTGGAGTCTTTCTGTCTTACAGTTTGAGCAAACGGCATCTGGAGCACCTAAGCACCCTGCTTCCTTCTAAAGATACAAGTCCCAGATTCTTTTTAAAAAGATCTGTATTTTGACTTTTTGTTCTCTTCATCCTTTCCCACCAGGCTTGGGCGCTATTTAAAGGGAAGTTCCGAGAAGGCATCGACAAGCCAGACCCCCCTACGTGGAAGACGCGTCTAAGATGCGCCTTGAACAAGAGCAACGACTTTGAGGAATTGGTTGAGAGGAGCCAGCTGGACATCTCGGACCCGTACAAAGTATACAGGATCGTTCCCGAGGGAGCCAAAAAAGGTGGGGATGCTCCCGAATCGGGGACACAGAGCAGAGGCAGCGGATGCACGGAGAGCCCTAATTTCACTCTGAGGGTCGCTCTCTATTTTTTCTTTTCACTTGCCTGCTACCTGCTTCCTCATGCTCAGGCCCACAAGCTCCCGGCCCAAGTTGTTTGGGTCGTAAGTTGAGATTCTTGTGGTGTTAGCATAGGGTCATTTCTCACACTCTAAGCCTCCGCGTGTGTGTGCATGTGTGTGTTTTCCAGTTAGTCAGCTTTATTGAGGTATGCGCCAAATTCCAAAAAAAGATAAAAGGAAAACACTGAAAATCTCATTAAAGCTTTACTTACCTAGTCGTCTTTGATGAGGAACCATTTCGTAGAAGGGAAGCGTACATCCATGCATTGTTGCTATTTATGGTGATAAAAACGTGGACTTTCAGAGTGTGATGTGGTCAGCTGTGGTGCTTATTAAAATTCAGATTCCTGGACTCCTCCTTCCAAGATTCTGACTGGTGTGTCTGGAGTAGAGCCCAGGAATCTGCGTTTTAAACAAATCCTACGGGCGACCTCACTCGGGAAGCATCTGAGGTACATTCACACACAGTATTTCCTTTATTTCTGTCCTTGTCCTACACGAGTCAGACCTTGTAGGAAAAAATGGCATGAGTGAATAACTGCCGAGCGAGTTGCTGAAAAACGCCTTATTTGTCCACGCTGGTTATGCATTCTAAGAATTAAACCCTCAGGTGTTTTTTCCAAGATTTGACATTTAGTTAAGTCAGTTCCTTTTTTCTCTCTGTGCCATTTCCCTTTTCCCCAATCACACAGGAGCCAAGCAGCTCACCCTGGAGGACCCACAGATGACCATGAATCACCCCTACCCCATGGCGGCTCCTTACCCCCCACTCCCAGCCCAGGTACAGTGGACGGTGGCACCGGGCTCCCAGAGGCGAGGCTGGGTCTGTGTGAGGCCGTGTGAAATGCCACCCCCCACAGGGGGAAACACACCCCTGACAGCGGAACTTGGTCTTTGCTATGACTGGTCCAACTGCACGAATGTCCCACTTTCCGTGTGGCGTTGCTGCCGGTGTTGGTTTTAAGTAGAGGAGGGTTGGGTGTGTCCTCCTGTGGGAACATGCTTCTCCTGAATCTCAAATCTTCTGGGAAACAGACCTTTCGTGAAAGTAGAAGATTTGGAAGTAATGCTTTATCATGTGAGACCGCAGGGCAGCTGATCGCTGCAGTCTTCCCTGATGTGAATGACAGCTCTGTTCCATCCACTTTGGTGGGTAAAAGAAGGCAGATTTCCCTGCAGAAGTTTTGGTGCCAGATGTAGCCATATGATGAAGCTTTACACATTATAAAACATTACAACAGTGTCTCCATTGTGCTTTTTGATAGTCTGCGGCCACAGACTTTGTGCTTTTTGATAGCTTCCACTTAGGGCGAAATGATTGGCATGATTTGGCCACCAGCCTAATAAGGGATTCCCTGAAGAGTCTGGGAGGCTATAAGAGCACCCCCCTCTCCCGGTGCCAGTGCTTTTCATCTCAGCCTCCCCGTGTTCTTTCAGCAGGTTCATAACTACGTGATGCCACCCCTCGACCGAAGCTGGAGGGATTACGTCCCTGATCAGCCACACCCTGAAATCCCGTACCAATGTCCCGTGACGTTCGGACACCGCAGCCACCACTGGCAAGGCCCAGCTTGTGAAAATGGTAAGGAAGGCACAGGGGCGTGGGGCAGAAGAGCTAATCTGGCCGTGGGCTGCGGTGAGTCCTGGTCTGTCCTTCTGGGCGGCACTGCAGCTCTTTGTCCTTCTCAGAGGCTGCTAGAAAGATTTCACGTACGGTACAGGGGTGAGGAGGATTTTGTCTGTCCTGCAGGACGGTGAGGTCCCAGAGCGAGTTCAGTCTCAGGGTCCGTGCTAGGCACTGCCCTCCATGGAGTCTTATGTGAACATCACAGAGATCATTCCAGGTAGCTAAAAAGAGCCCCCCTTTTTCTTAATTGAGGAGATCTTGGAAGTTCATGGAACACCATGAAAAATACAGTAAAAGGTCCCCACAGGTGCCTAGCTACTGAGTCCCAGACAAACCTGCCCATTCAGGATTCTATGTGGTCCCACGCCCATAGGAGTTACCCGACATCAGAATGAGCTCGCTCAGCAGAAGCCCTGCTAGGTGCAGGGGAAGTTTCCCGAGGTGCGCTGAATGCAGCAAAACTCAAGCTTTCAAGACTTTGGGGTTAGTTACTTACGTAGAAGTCCTGGAAAAAGTCAACACACTGATCCTTTTGGATATTCCGGGAGTATTTGCTCCTTCACCATTTGGCCAATTTGCTTTTTTTTTCCAGTCATGTTCAAGTCATCCTGGGCTTCTGGTAGTGAAGCGGTGTGCCCTTATTTAATGTTATTTAATATTGAGTGGCATGTTTACAGAAAGCTCGGAATTTGGTTGTATTGGTTTTTCAAGAGGGATTTGCAGCCAAGGGTGGTTTCCCACGTCACAGTGGAGGAATCAGCTAACATTAAACTAGCTCCTGAAATTCAGACCTGTGTCCAGTGTGTCAGCTCTATTGAACTAGTGACCATAGTAAAGAGGCAGTGTTTAGAATTGTGCAAAAAGGTGAAATATTTTGAAGCATAGGTAACACTAAATGAAGTGCCAGCGAAAGAAGGTGTTCTGTTACATGTGCTTTCTCTATCCACGGTTCATGCAACACTGTCTCCAGGAAACACGGTTCAGTTTTGTCCTGCACCCAGAAGGAGCAAGCAACATAAACATGGACTAAACCATGAGTTAATTTTTAAATGGGCTCTTTGGTGTCAGAACGCACATGGACCCGAGTTCTCAGCTCTGCTGTGAACTTGCTGTGTGAACAGGGGCAAATCACTTAATCTCTCTGAGCCTTGGTTTCCCTGTTTGTCAATTGTGGAGAGAGGGTTTCCTTCTAAAGCTGTGCAACACCTCCTTTCTCCCTCAACCCTGGTTTTTCCAGTCGAACCTGGGCTTGTCATTGCCTCACAAGAGGTGCCCTGCCAGTAGCTGGTGCCGGGCGTGGGTCAGAAGGTGAGTGGGGCTCTGGCCCTTTCCTTCCCGGGCTCAGTGCACACCTCAGGCAGCTTCCCAGTGCATCGGACTCTCTGTTTAGACATCACCTGATTTTTATTTGCAAATGCAGGTTGCCAGGTGACAGGAACCTTTTATGCTTGTGCCCCACCCGAGTCCCAGGCTCCCGGGATCCCCACAGAGCCAAGCATAAGGTCTGCTGAAGCCTTGGCGCTCTCAGGTGAGTGCGGCGTTTGGTTCTGGAGGCACCTGCAGGCGGCCAGCCTCTGCTGTCTTCTTCGGGTAGATTTGACGGACATTTATACACTCGCTTTCCTCCCCTTGGGGTCTGAAGTAGGTGTAGACTCGTCCTGCACCCAGCCTGGGCACCACAGCGAATAGGGAGCACTAGCAGAAGACTTAGCGGTGAGAAGCCAGCTTGTGACAGTGATGGCAGGTCCCCTGCTGGTTTGAATGGAGTCCTTTTAACTTCTCCGTTGGCACCTCTCAGAATTGCCAGGAATGTGCAAACACTCCAGTTCCCTTTACCGAGTGCAAAGGCTTCTCATTTTGAGAAGCTGAGCATCCTTCCTGGTTTAGCCACAAACAGGTTCTCCTCCCCTGCTCCCTAGGGACATCAGTGCTGGTCCCTCCTCTCCATGATGTTAGTGTGCCTACAGGTATGCACATTTTGGTCTTCCTCCGAACTTTAATATAGCTTGCGGATAAATCTGATTTTTAAAGTTCTGTTTCTAAAAAAAGTAAAATTCTCCGAGAGCTTACCTGTTTTAAGAAAGGCACCTCGAGGCTTACTGAGCATGTGTGGTACGTGTACATTTATTTTATAGATAATATTTTGGGTTGTTTTTTAAGTGGGATTTGTATTTATATTAAAAACAAATAGCTTAAAGTTTGGAATTCTCACCTTGCCCCCTGGCTTCTTTAAAAATCAGCGACAGAAAACAAACTAAATTCTGAAGGTTACAGGGAGATGAGAGTTGTGGCACTTTTCTCGCCCACAGGGGAGGTGGAGTTTTACCTTCCAGCTCCTCCCAGCCCTGCAGTCCCCATGGAGAGGAGTGCCTTTCTTCCCAGGTGCCCTGAATAGCTGAGGAGGGGCTTCCAAGCAGGAGGGCGTGTGTTTGTTTTTAGACACTTTCACTCCCTTTTCTTGAGTACCTAAGACTTGTGTGGGTGCCTAAAGAGTAGAAATAAACAGCTATTTATATCTCTGTGACCTCGTGATTTCTGATGACATTATATGAAATGAAACCTGCCCCGCGAGTCACCTCAGATGGCCAACACCCACGCTCCTTGGGGCGTGCCGTCCCACTTGCTCTCAGCCGGTGTGTCGACGCAGAGGATTGAGACAGTGATGTGGGTTAAGTCTCAAAACCTGCCACTGAAGAATAAGTGGGTGTGTGGGTTTCTCGTCTGGGTGTGCATGATGCAGACTGATCACCGGCCCTGGGCGCGTTTATCAGAGAGCCGCGATTCCCGTTCGCTGCTAAGTCCCTGGCAGGCGCCTGTGGGCAGCCGTCTCCTGTCCGCTTGCCATTCAGTTTAGGAGGCTTTGCAAACCTCTCTTGGTGCTTTCAGTCTGTGGGTGATGTTTTAAAGATATTTCTGAAATGAGCAAAATTTTTATAAACGGCTTCATCTTGTTTAAAGTTTTAGTACGGTTTTAGAGTTCTTTTCGAACTTGAACACAAAGCGTAGTGGGAATTTCAACAGACTAACTCCTAGAGCATTTTTCTGGTTGATTGTTTTCACGAGAATTAATTTTACGGTAAAACCAGCATATATCCAGTGTGGAAAACTAATTTAAAAACCATAAAAACAAAAATAGAAAATAAAAGCATCACATTCTACAACCCTTCTGGGTTCTAAAAAGGTGAAGATACATTTATGCACACACACGCATATACAAAAATATATATATACACACATATACATATATAACCTAAATGATGACATATTGATATCGATACTTAGGAAAGTTTCATGTGTGTGGACATACTTTCTTCTCTCTGAAACATCACTATAGTTTTTTGCTAGTAGAAATTAAACTTTCCTTCAAAATCAAAATTGATTTGCTTAAAGATGAATTCTCATTTGGTGACACATGATTTAGTATTTTAGACATAAATGTTGTTACCACCATCAGCATCATCATCCAAAAAAAGTGACTTATTAAATTCTTAACAGTGGTGCTCTCTAATCTGAGGTATCATATTTTGCAAAAAATTAATGAAAGATGTGCCCTCCCAGAAAACAGCATCCGTGGCCACATAAATTTGGAAGATGCTGGTTTGGACAAATTAAGTCGGGTTCTGTCCACAGGACTTCTGTAACTGTTGGACGTGCTCATACTGTCTGTGACTCCCCAGTGGGGAGACAGGGCGCGCAGCACGTCCTAGACTTCCTCGAGGCCTGGAGCATTTTACTCGTTCACAGAGCATCCTGGGACTCTGGTTTCACCAGATGCGCTTTGCTCTGGGCGAGTCGCTGACGTCAAGGCCGGTGGCCTCGGCCCGCCAGCACTGACTCTGGCGCTCTGTGTTTGCAGACTGCCGGCTGCACATCTGCCTGTACTACCGGGAAATCCTGGTGAAGGAGCTGACCACGTCCAGCCCCGAGGGCTGCCGGATCTCCCACGGACACACTTACGACGCCAGCAACCTGGACCAGGTGCTGTTCCCCTACCCTGAGGACAATGGCCAGAGGAAGAACATCGAGAAGCTGCTGAGCCACCTGGAGAGGGGTGTGGTCCTGTGGATGGCCCCCGACGGGCTCTACGCTAAAAGACTGTGCCAGAGCAGGATCTACTGGGACGGGCCCCTGGCCCTGTGCAGCGACCGGCCCAACAAACTGGAGAGAGACCAGACCTGCAAGCTCTTTGACACCCAGCAGTTTCTGTCAGGTAACATATCTGCCTGCCCCAGAGGCGGGGCTCAGAAATGACAGGGTCCCTTCTAGCCCTGGCTGAAGTCTTCCTCCTGTTAACCGGGGAGCCCAGCAGGCTGATCCCAGACCGGGTCTCCCGTCTGACCTGTGGGTTGGAGGGGTGAGAAGAGGGTCGGGATGAGGGATGAGATTGCCCAGGTGGACGTCTCGCAATTCTAGTTTTCAACAAAGAGTCACCTCTTAACAAGGTGACGTTTTACTGCAGTATGATCTCAGCAAGCATGTCTGCTGATGGGGCGGCTCTTTTCAGGTTCCTAGAAAAATTATAAAGGTTAGAAGTACATTGTTAACATTCTTGGTTATGAGATGTGTCACCCTCATGCAGATGCTGCCCCGAGGTGGGACCAAGGATTGAGTCTACTGAACTGATTTTGCAAAGGGGAAATTATGAGAGTGCTTTGAGTTATCTCTGTGATGTATGAATGTTTCTAATCCTATTTTTAAGAACCAGTAACTTTTGTTTTCCTGGTTTTTCAAGATGATTAAATTAGCCCTGGGTTGGCTTTTGTGAAACCGCTGGCCGTGTCTCTGTTGGGGCTTCATCTGGAGGGTTCATTTAGCTGTCCAGAGGCAAGATGCCTCCTTTGGGGCAGAGAGCTGCTCTGTCTGCCAGCTAACTGCCGGTTCTTCCTCTGCCCTTCCCTAAACCTATTCTTTCACGAGGTCCCCTTCAGAACTACCCCGTGATCCTTGGTTCTTCACCTGCCTCCCCTTTTCCTGAACACACGTCTTCATTCAATTCATTTAAAATAAAAATGTGAGGCATCTATGTGCTTTGGCACTGCTGACATTTGCTGAGCCTTTGGGGTTTAAGTGGCCGAAATTTGCGCAAGCTCATCTCAACTGTCTTTCGGTGCCCAAAACAAATAACGTCCGTAGATAACTGACCTTCACACAGAGGCTGACAAAAGGATGAGGGAGAACCGTGTCGGTTCCCAGGCAGTGGCAGGTGAGGAAGGCACCGTTGCTGGACAGCTCTCGCTCTGGTGGCAGAACTGTCTCCAAGCCACAGCTGGGACCCCCTGTGTTGAGATCAATGTGATGCTAATGGCGGGGACTGAGGAAGCCACTGAGGGGCACCCCGTTGGCATCTCCTGTGTCTGCCTTGGGGTCTGAAAGAGCCCCCATGTCCCAGGAGGGCTGAGGCCTGCGGGGTCTGGATTTCCTCCGAGACTGTGGATCTTGGTGTCTTTGGGTCCAGATGATACCACAGGGTGAGGCCTTTCTAATTAGGGCATCCCAGGAAACCGGCACTTGCTTCTCTGAGTTTCTCTTGCCATGCACGTTTTAGGAGATAGCCCCCCACTGCGACCAGGCTGTAAGGTAAGCTTTGAGTCACAGGAACACCGCGTGACACCGGTGAGCATCTGCACGCTGCGAACTCCCTTGCCCACAATTTCATACTTATCTGTGAGCAAGAGCTGTTCTGGTTTTTCCCCCTTCTTCTGTAATCCGGGGCTGTGTTTTTTGCCCACTGCAATTTCTTACCTCAGAGTGTTCACTGAGGTTCTAGAAGGATGCTGTGAACTTAAAAACTGCAGCCGTGTAGACCAACTTCTGCATGATTAAGGATTCCCACTGAATGTGCTCGTGTTATCAAGTGTTCGAGGCATGACTTTTTCAGAGAATTGTGCCCACTTGCCACTCTGATTAGCTTGTGTAGGTGTAGGCTCAGACCACGGCAGTGTGAACGTATTTTACACATTCTGACTAAGTCGTTTGGGTTTGATTTGAATTCTGGAAAAAAAAAAAAAAAGGCAGGAAGTCAAATGGTCCTGTGAGTTAGCTAGAAACGGTTCTTCAGTTGAAGAGAACAGTGGAAATCTTTGATATCTACCCATTCAGGATTTGCACACCACTAGGGACGGCCCCAGAGGCCCGGCCCGAGGGTGCGTATCTGATAAGGACACATCCGAGGAGCTGTTGTGCAGAAGCTTTCGTGGCTCCTGTGTAAACGCGCCCGTTTTGCAGACATGACATTTTACGGTCGCTGCAGGCAGGAGAGTCATCTTGCGGATGGGCGGAGAGCACGGGTCGCCATCAGCGATTGGACACACATCTTCCCCGGTGCTCCCAATCTGTCTCTCATCCTTCGGGTAGGAGTGGTGGCTTGGGGATGTGCATATCTGTGAGCGCCGCGCCAGTGTGCTTCATCGCCACCTTTCTTATCTCAGGCTCTCGGTCCGTCCCGGATGACACAGCTTAGGGCCAAGGCCTCGCAGACGCCCAAACGGTGCCCGGTCCCCGGCTGACCTTGCGTGCTTGCCGTGGCGCCGAGTTCCGCAGGTGTCCTCAGTAGCACAGAGACTTGATTATGTGGGCTCTGCAGTTGGGGAAGGAGTTTTTAAAATAATCCTGGGATATCAGAACATAGAGATTTTTTTCAAGGAAATTTTCTCCTTTGCATAAATTGGTCCTTTGCCTTAACAGGACTACATTTCTTCTTTTTCTCCCAACTTCACTCCTGTCTGCTACCTTTCGCCTCTCATGGGTCTGCTGCTGCAGATCAGTGTTTGTGAGCCTGGGGACACGCGCCCCATGAAGAATCCGGGAAGCCAAGCACGCTGTCAGGACAGCCAGTGCGATTTTGTGTGCAGGGCGCACAGGTGAAGAGCCCTGTGGAGGGAGACAGAGCGTGCCCATTCCTCCTGGCATCTTCAGAATTGCAGAAAGCTCTTGCTTCCTGTTTAACCTGGCGTTGTTCAGTGATGAGGGTTTCTGAGCGTCGTTTTTTTTTTTTTTTCTTGTGGGCTTCTCCAGAGCTACAAGCGTTTGCTCACCACAGCCGCCCCCTGCCAAGATTCCAGGTGACGCTGTGCTTTGGGGAGGAGTTTCCAGACCCCCAGAGGCAAAGGAAGCTCATCACGGCTCACGTGAGTACTCGGTTACATTCACATAGTCGCGTTTCCCTGTTCTGTACCGAGGTCAGGGTTCCGTTTAGAGAAGTCCTAAACGTGAAGTAAATGTCTGTGACCTGGGAAAACAAGCATAACCCTTAAAATAGTGCGGGAGGAAGCACGGTCCAGCGGACAGCAGGCCCAGGGCCCCACCTGCTGCTCCCAGACACAAGATCCGCTCACCACAGACCTGGGGAGGAAGCCTCAAAGTGAGGGCCCCACTTGTCCCGTCTTTCTTATTTTTCAGGAAAATAGTCATATTCCCGTTTGATAGGGATTTAAAAGGATTGGCGCTAAAAGTAGCCCATTCAAATCCTCCATGTCTAAGATTGCTTTACAAATGCCGTGTAGCTAGTGGCTCTTCCCTTGGTGGAGAAGCTTTTCCCAGGTGGGAAGCTGTCCACTCGGGGGTATGCTTATTTTGTGGGTCCCTCCAAATATTTCCCAGCCCCTCTTTTATTTCTGGAATCTTAGAAATTATTTAATTATTGGACATATGTTATTTGAAAGAGGCTAAGTCTGTCAAGGAGTTCGAGTAGACGAGACTCATTGTGTCCTCTAACGTAGTTCCAGATGGGTTTCAGCTGTGGCAAGTAAATGTCTTTTTCATAAAAAAGAAAAAGAAAAAAGATTTCTATAGATAATGTTTAGCATTAGTCACGAATACCTAAGATTTTTGAATTTGAAAACTCCACATTGCTACACACCTGCAAGAGCTATTAATGGGCCCAGATAGTGAGCGATACCAGGTAAAAAATTATACCCATAATATCAAAATTTAGATCTTATTTTAGCTCTGATGATATTTCCTGTTGAAAACTGAAATAAAACACTACTTTACCTAGAACACACAAGCCCTCCTTCTTCATTGTAAGATTGTAAGAACAATCTGCACCCAAATGTTTACGGCAGCACAATTCACTATTGCGAGGATGTGGAAACAGCCCAAGTGCCCGTCAATCCGTGAGTGGATTATTAAAATTTGGCATATGTATACAGTGGAATATTACTCAATCATAAGAAACGACAGTGATCTAGAATCTCTTATACTTTCCTGGATTAAACTTAAACCCATTATCCAAAGTGAGGCACCACAAGAGCGGAAGAATGGGCTCCACATGTACTCGCCATCAAATTGGTACTAACTGATCAACACTAGGGTGATCACGTGGCAAAAATACTCTCCAGGGATTAGGGGGATTTGGGGGGAGGGGGTAAATTCGCAACTAAAGGACACGGGGAGCACTGTAGGGGGAAGGGCATGCCTTTAACCCACACTTGGGTGAGGCAAAGACATAAAGTGTAACCATAATGTTTGTACCCT